AGTAAGAACCGGGATAAAATAAATATAAAATATTTTGAAATTAAATCATTTTTTAAGTGAAATCCCTGGATATATTAAATTAAAGGATTAAATTGGAGGAAATACAAATAATATATTTTGAAATGATATTATTTTAAATCCTATCAACATTAAACCTTATTGAACATCGCAAATTTTAATTATATTTAAAGGTTCAGTCAGAAAAATATTGCTCTACAGATCGTTTTTAAAAAGAACACTCATAAACTTAGTTTAGAAGACACCGAATGTCCTTGTTTTATGAAAAACTTAAAAATGTTCTAAACTTTCACTTTCAAAAAGTTCAAGAGACTACTGTACCATGTATGTATAGTACTTTCCATTTTTTTGCACAATCTCCGCTCTCCTCCCCCAACCCCTTTCGCAGCCTCCCCGCCTCGCCCCCCCCCTCCTCCGCCGCCTCTGATTTTGTTACATTTTTGTTCACTTTCGTTTTTGTTGTGTTGCGTTTTTTTTTCTTTTTGTATTTTTTGTGCCGAAAGGATTCGTGCGAAACAAAAAGGCTGCCCAGCGCTGACCACCCACACCCTTAAAGCCCCACCCCCACCCACTCACACACACATTTCTTGGGCCTGACACACGCCACGCACACTTGGGTGTCTTTATCATGGAGAAAGGGAGAAAGTCGGGGAGTGGGAGAAAGCGCGCGAGAAAGGGACGCAGCGAGCCCAACCCCGAAGCAAGGACATTGACGACGTCCAGCTCGCTTCTTCCTCATCCTCTTCCTTTCGCTTCTTTTTTTTAGCATTTTCCATTTTCTTTTAATTCAGCCTAGCCCCCCACCCACATTCCCCGCCCACTGGCTTTCTTTTGTTGCGATGAAGAAGGCGGAAAAGGGAAAATTGTAAATTGAGTTACGCATTCTGACAGTTTGCATTACGATCTCTAGTCAACCCCGTCGCTACACAGAAAATAAAAATAATGGTCAGTTAAAAAATGCGCTGCATACCCGAACGGCGTTAGTTGCATTTTTTACGAAAATAATATCCTATCGTTAAAAATGATGATTTACTATAAAAGGTTTTGATTTTTATAAAAATGTATTCATATTCTTCATCGAAAAATTGTATATTCCAGTATATCTCGAAATTCGGAATTTTGTTTTTTGACAAAAATAGGAATTTTTCTTTTGGTTTTTTTGCTGTAACTTGGCCAAAAATGGTCCTACACCAAAAATACATACTGTTTTGAACAAATAACAAAATAATTAATAGATCCATAACCCTTTCCGGGTGATCTTGAAAAAATAAAATTTTCGTCAATTTTTAATTTTTTGTAAGGGGGTACATCATGATTTTTGCGAAAAATGACAAAAAATGAAATGAAATGAAAAATTGACATTTTTAAGATCTAGAAAAGATCTTAAGGGGGTTTTCGCCACCCATATGCACACTAGGATTAAACAAAGAATTTTAAACAAATAACCCCATGCTTTTCCTGTTGTGTAGAACCTGCCAGCCATCCCTCCCCCCGACTTCTCCCAGGTCACACATAATGACCATGTGTGTGTGTGCATGGGCTATCTATCGATCTACTTTACTCTTCATTGGCATTATTCCAGCTTCGTCGTCGTCATCAATTGAATTCGTTTCATTTCGTTTCGTTTGAATGAATTTCGCTTTGGACTTTTGCTGATGTTTCTAGCCATGCCGGAACACACATTATGTATATGTGCTGTGAGTTGTGTGCTGTGTGTGTCCAGCAGAAGGTCCCTTTTTTGCTGACATGCTCGAAGGACTTCGCATATTTAAACATATTAAATATCAAAGGACAACCGCCTCGCCTCGGATCTTAATTTCGCTCACATTTCGCATGACCATCTTCTTCTTCGGCAAACTGATGCTTTTGCCCAATTAAATTTGCATCATTTGTCATGGAAACGGCCGGTTAATGGCGTGCCAGGAGCTGGAGAGCGAAGCGAAAGGACCTTCCGTAGAATATCCTCCGCCTAATCAGTCTAAAAAGAGGCCAACCGGCAAGAGCTAAGAGCTTAGACTAAGCATTCAGCGAACCATTCGAAATGCAAACCACAAAAGTAGCAATTAAATCAAGTGCAAGACCGACTCTTAAAAGGTATAATTGACTACTTTAGTTCTTATAGACTATAAGATATAAATTTTAGCTTATAATCCTTTCTCTTACTAGTCTTACCGGATTAATAACAGAAGAACGGAATTAATACCACTATTTACTTTTAATAGAAGTTTATATTTATTCAGAAAATATTTTAGAACTTTTTGATTTTCTAGTAAATTTACTTTTCCGATTCTGAAATCCAAAAAAATACTATTCAATTTTAAAGACTTTTGAAAATATTTATATGTAATTTCTGCCACGATTATTTATATTGATAGTCTTAAAAAAAAGCTTTAGAATTTTGCTTAAAATACTATATTATAACCATTTTGTCAAACTGAATCTTTGAATTTGCCCCAAAATATAGGCAATACCTTTCCGCAAATTCCTCTGGCATCCTATTTGTTTACACGTGTGCCGCAGCTCTTTGAATGGTCAGCTCCCTTTTTTTCTTTCCTGAATAAATGGTTTCCCCTATTTTTGTCAAAATTCAATTAAAATTGTTTAACTTGGACGACGACAGAAAAAATAAATACAACAAACTTACATTTTACATTATATGTACGAATATATATATCAAATTGTATAGAAAAATAAAGCGAAAGAGTTACAGCAGCGGACGTCGACTGCGCAGCAGCAGCGCTGCAGCAGCGGGCATTTCAAACAAAGGACAACATAACGAGATTAACACACACACACACACACACACACATAGAGGCACAGAGCCACCCCAAGGAAAAAAGTAAAAATACGAAGCAAAATCAAATAAAAAACACAAAAAATACAACAAGCTGAGGAGAAGCGAAAAGCATGTAAAAAAGAGAGCGAACGGGGAGAGGAATTGAGAAAAAATAAAACCCGCTTAAATTAAGCCCACCTACTGGCCACCATCAGAAGCCACCACCCAACTCGGAAACCAGCCCGAAACCACCCAAAACCACCCAAAAACCACCCACAAAAGGAGGCTGAAAGTGAAGCTGAGGCTGGACAACAAACGCACGAACGGGTTGAAGGGTTCGAACACGTTGATAAGGACACGAGGGGGATGGGTGGAAGGGGGGGGGGGTGGACGGGAGGCAGTGGTCAGGGAGTGTGCCGTTCCGCCCGCCGGCACTTGCCAATTTAAACAGGAAAGAAGGCCAAAGGCAAGGGCCACGACTATAAAATACCCGCTAAGAAAATATGTTGCTAAAGTTGATATGATCTTATCTTATCAAAACTGTTTTAAAGAATTTTCCAATTCAAGGTAAAAAAATCTGTTACTTAAATTTAAAAATGTTTTTTAGCTTAAAGCTCAAAATTATTAAGTACATTAAAAAAGTTTTCAAAGGTTCTTTTTCTTGTTCTTGAAACTAATCACTTGTTTAAAATCTTTTTTAAAAAATAATTGTTTTATTATTATTATCAAATATGTTATTACTACAGAAGTTCGTATACCAAAAATGGCGATACTTGTTTCAATAGGTCCCGAGATCCAGGCTGGGATCCCCGTTGCATAATTTTTCGCAAATAAAATATGCCCCCATAAGGTACATACATACGTCTAACGGGTATAAACAGTGGGTGGGAAGAGGGAAGAGGAAAGAGGGGCTGGGGCTACAAAGAAACGACCACGCAGCATAAATAAAATGCCTGCCAAGCAAAGGTCCGCACACACAAACACACACACGCACGTATGCAGAGCAACCCTTTCTCTCCATCTTCATCTTCTTCTTACTTTCGCTTGGCCAGTGGGCAGCCAGTGCGTGCCCCATCCCCAAAAGCCCACAAAAAACCTCCTAAAATCCAACGAAAACCCCCCGAAACTCACACAAAATGCGGCAAGGAAACTGAAAATTATGTCGACTGAAGCTGCTGCCGCTGCCGCTGCCTCTGCCGACGTCGTCGCAGATGTTGGGGGCAGCGCAGGATGGTTTCCTTCGTTCCACCGATCCTGGTCAGTTTCGTTGCGAGGCCATTAAAATGCGTAAATTTGCAAAGGTTTGCCTGTTCGATTCAACTGGAAACTGGGAGTGCGAGTACTAGGATACAAGCACAGTGGAACCATTATCATCCTATCATATTATAGTCTATCCTGATCCTATCCTATCCTAATAGTCTATCCTGGTATCGTTAAATCAACAGGAATACTTTTTGAATGCTTTCGTACTTGGTAGGTGTTCGCTGATCAAGTTTAAATGTTTCACATTAGTAAACTTTTTTACCTTTTTATTATATTTAAAAATTATATTATGTTGGTTCATCCAAAATGTTGATGTTTTTGAATAATAGTAATATAATCCTTGAGTAAATCTTGGCCAAAAAATTGTTGAAAATAAAAAATACATACTTAGGAAAATCAGGATATGGGGTTTGGATTATATAAGGATTTTGCTTATAGTAAAACTTGACCAAAAATTATCACAATATGTCAATCACTATACTATACCCTACGAGTAGCGGATATTATAATTCCCTTACTTACCCTTTAAAAAAAGTGATTCTAGATTATCTTCAATTCCCCTCCGTCCCCCAAAACGAATTAATAGTTATTTTATTTAATTCAAATTTTTCTTAGGCATTTCTCGCATTTATTTTTCATAGTTTTCGTAACACGTTTCATTCGCACAGTTTTTGTTTGTTCTTTTTCGTTTTTAATATGTTTTGAATGTTTCTATCAAAATTACAAAAAATTCCATTCGATTCGGAATATAAGGTATATATAGTAATATATATTTATATATCAAATGTGTGTGTTTTTATTTGTGGAAAAAATTGTATCAAATGGCAACATTGTTCACTATATAATAGCCCTGCAAAGAATTTCTGGTGTTTATTTATTAAATTGCTTTTTTCTTTGATTTCTTTAGTTAGATGTTGTAGTCTTGCGCTGCTGTATTTGTATTTGTATTTGTAAATTTGTAGTTAATGCATATGAGTGATGTCTGAATGTGTCGGCGATATAATAATTAACTTACTTATTTTGTTCTCCTCCAGTTGTAGTCTTTTCTTTTAGTTGTAGCTTGGGCTTTAATATGAGTTTTCCTTACTTTATATAATTAGGATTCTGTTTTGTGTTTGATTTCTTGTTCTTTTAGTTGAACCTTGATTTATTTCTTTTCGTTACTTAATTTGTTTATACACTGAAATCGAGAATCGAAAACTTTAAGCAAACGAACGGAAACAAAAAAATATAAATTATATATAAGATGGCAAACAAATTATCTTTAAAATGCTTTTTGTAGTCAAAGCATCAAGTAAGTTTCTAGATTTCACGTTCTTTTGCGTACAATTACATATGTGTATATGTATGTCATTTATATATAAATTTATTTAGCTTTTAAATGTTTCTTTCAGTTTATCTTGGACTTAATGACTAGGTTCATTTAGATTTTATTACATTCATTTAGCAAAAAATGTTGCAGGTTTTTCTTTCTCTTCTCTTTTTTTTTTTGTTTTGACACGACGACGGCGCCTATGGCACATCCTTGTGTTGCTACCATATATATATAGATATATATATAGCGTATAGTGTCTAAAAAATATGTTCATATAAATTCAAGCTTTAAAAAATTGGCATTTCCTTTATTTAAGTATGTTTATATCTAGATCTATATGCATAATACCCTTTAGTTTTGTATACGTAGGAAAGTAAAATTTTAATTTACCATAATAAACCCAATGCTAGTTTCTTGTATTCAAAACCGAAAGTTTCTATATATATTTCATATATATATATATATATTTGACGTAGGATGGGAAACAAAAGCAAGCATATATAGCTGATGCGGGATCTTCGGGGATGGGAGACTGAACACTTTTAGGATGGCTGGATGGCTGGAGAAGAAAGGCGAAGTTTTACTCGATTGGTTCGATCGATCACTATTCGATCGCATTACACATGCCGACTAATACGTAACAAAACTTCATACAGAACTATATAGCTTTGCCTATATATACAATGTGTATTGGGACCGTAACAGTCAACGTTTGATTTCAGATACATTTCAACTCAAATTATTCGGGTTCCGGCTATAATTATGTGTATATTGTATATATGGCTGTCTCTGGCTGTACACAAACATACATAAAAACAAATGGCAAACAAGTTACTACACGAAAACAATTACAAAAATGATCAAATACTTAATCGATCAATGATATTAAATCGTCCATTTAAAGAATGCAATATATATTTAGTCGTAGCGAATCGAAAGCTATTCTACGCATAATTTCTTTTGGGAAAAGAATCCCCAAAGAATTAAGCTTTATTGAACGTATTCAATGCCTGCATGCACATAAAAATTGAACCTATAGGAACGCTTAAGAAATGATATGTTGGGAAACAAAATTTGTAAACGAAATTTAGGAAAATATTAATTTATATATTATTACAATTACAATTACATATTTGATTTGTGTACAGAAATAATTCCATTTTCTCTTATTGCCTTCAATTGAAATAGTTTGATTTGCACATACAAATTGCATTTTATGGCTGATCTGTCTGTCTTATCTGCGGTTCGGTATAAGTACAAAGAGAATGATAATTGTAACACTATTTGAGGAACTTGACAAATCTTTTGAAAACTAAGCACTTTGTTATTTCAACTGAACAATCAATGTGGAATTAAAATTTGTGGGTAAAAAGAATAGTATCGCTTTAAACAGCAAATAATTTGGATAGATCAACACACATACATACACATATATATATGCATTAATATATATATTAGGTGTATATGCAGGGCTTTCCCTATTTAGGTTTATATGCTTTATAAGGCATTTCCTTTGCTAGCGCAGCGCATTTCATGCGCTTACAAAACGTTCACTCTACCGTTACAAAGATTATCGAAAAAAAAATATAAAATATCAATACTAAGAGCAACTGAACAATTAAAAAGTGCATGTATATATAAAAACATTGTACACTTATCTAACGCTAATTTAGTGTTTTTTAAATAATGCACTATCGTTTTAAAAATTAATTTTTCTCTTCTTTTTACAAACTAAAATTTATCTTAAATATTTTTACTAGTGCAGAGCTCCTTTTCTTTTTCTGAGTTTTCGATTTACGAAATTAATCAGAAATATGGTTGAATAATCAAACAGAGTCAAAAGGGTCAACAAAAATACTATATTTTTACTGCGCTCTTTTAATATTCTTAAATTTAAAAAACGAATAAAGAAAAACCCATTTTGCATTTAGCGAAAAGCTCAAAAATATTATCTAAAACCTTGAGTAGATGGCCACAAATTTGTTGACCCTTTTGACGCGGTTTGACACTGAACTTAAAAAAGGAGTTTCTACAGTTTGATTCTCTGTTATGCGTAATACTTTTGTAAGAGAAGTGGGCGTGGCCATAGCATATTCTTAGAAAATATATATAGTCATACATGTATGTATGATTCAATTAGTGCTTTTTCTTCCATCTCGCTTAGTTGTCGCCTAGACTTAAATAGGAATTTGTAAGATTCATTTTCTTTGCTTTCTCGTAGACAAGTAAATATTTGCGCTCCGGCACGAAATTCCCTCCTCTGGAGACTGAAGATTGTGCGGATTGCACCTGAGAAAAATATCATAAATTAGTTTGGGATCGCAGAAAATCAATCTTAAAATCAAGAAATTACTCTTCTTCAGTTAGATCCTACACCCGGTTGGTCAGGTGCGTCTTGTCGCTCCTCTTCGGCGGCGGCGGCGGCGGACGCTTCTTGGCCGCCACCGAGTTGCCGGGCGGCGGCGGCAGCGGCGGTGTGCCCGCATCTCCGCCAGCTACCCCCGTCCTCGCCTGGCCGTGGACGTTCTCGTAGAGCGCGTTATGCGCATACTCGTAGTGCTCCTGCACCCAGTGGCTCACGTTGGCCGTTTCGCGGTAGTAGTGCGAGGAGTTGGCCCCCGAATTTAGGTTGTGGGCGGCCAGCAGATCCTCGTTGCTAAAGTCCCGGAAGCCCAGCACCTCGTGGGGCGTGGTGGCCGGCTCCGCCTTGCACTTCTGCGCCACCTGCCACTTCTTGCGCATCACACGCTGCAGATCCTTGAGGAAGTCGCGGGGCGGATTCGAGGCGGACTCCTGCAGGCGCTTGGGCGAGGTGATCTCGCTACTAATCCCGCTCCCGTTGCTCTGGCTGGACAGACGCGCCAGATCCGATCGCGGCGGCAGCATCGGTCCCGGAGCGTAGGTCTGATAGGCGGCGGCCGCTGATCCCGTCGAGCTGCAGCTCAGCGTGGTGCTGGGCGATCGCTGCGGCAGCACCGGCTCCGGTGAGCACATCTTGCGGCGCAGCAGCACCGGCGAGTCCGCAAACGAGACCTTCTTCTGGGCGGGAGGCGCCGGCGGCGGCGGCAGCGGCGGTCCGGCGGCGGCGGGACCCACATAATCCGGCGGCGCTTTGTATGGTGGCGCTGCCTTCAGAGCGCCAGTCGCTTGCTTAACCGCCGGCTTGATCGGCTTGGCCGGCACTGCCGGCGGCAGCGATCCATTGCTGTTCGGCATGATCATTGTGCTCATTGGTGTGGGAGTGGCTGGACTGGGCGGCCCTGCATAGCTCATGGCCAGCACCTCCTCGGGCGGCGGTGGCGGCGGCAGGGAAGCCAGCGACAGCTGCGAACCGTACACATCCTGATCCTCCTCCGGCGGCGGCGGGGGCAGCGAGTCCAAGGAGAGCGTGGATGAGCACATCAGCGAGGCGGCTGCATCGCCCGGCGGCGGCTTGGCGCAGATGCTCGGCGTGGGCGTGGGCGTGGAATTGCTGCTGGACGACGTGGAGGAGGCACTGCCCATGGGCTCCGCCTGCTTGACCGCCGCCGCCGCCGCCGCCGCAGTGCTGCTAACCACCGGCATGGGTCGCCGCTTGAGCGTTCCACTGCCGTTGCTCTCCTGCGACTTGCGGCGGCTGTGGCGTCGCGTCAGCGTACCGCTTCTCTCGGGGGAACTGGCATCGCCGCCGCCGCCGCTCTCACAGATCGTAATCTCGCCCACCTCCTTCAGCTGGCGCGTCATCGTCGTGAGCGGCAGGTTGGGCTTCATCGAGGGCTTGCGCTTAATGGTGCCCGTGGTGAATTCCGAGTCGAAGCCGTTGTTGTCGTCCGACAGGCAGCCGCTGGAGCTGCTGCTCGAGGCGCGCGACGTGCGGCCGCTGGTCGAATGGGACATGCTGCTGATGGCCGAGGAAACGCTGCCGCATTGCGAGGGCACCGCCGACGAGATGCTCGAGATCGACTCGCTGCGCATGGAGACGGCGAAGCTCGACTGCGAAACGGCATCGGCATCGCGGCCCAAGCAGAGATCCTCCATTAGCGACTTGCGGCTGTCCCACAGCTGCTTGCCGTACTTGCACACCCGAATGGCCGTCAGCCAGCGGTCGAGCGTGGGCAGATCCTCGGCGCAGAGCATCTTGAGGGAGCGGCACGTCTTGCCCAGCGAGGAATCGGCCACCGCCTTGAAGCCAAAGGTGTAGTCGGTCGGCGACTTCCACTTCTTGCGCCACCCCAAACCGGTGTACACGTTGTGGCCGTGAAAGAGATTCAGGCAGGCCAGGTCACGGGTGTTCTTGGTCTTCTCCTTGGGAAAGTAGTAGAGACCCGAGGAGCGCAACACAAAGTGATACCGCTTCCAGCCCTTCTTGGGATCGGCCTTCATGTAGAGCGGTCCGTCCAACTGCAGCTGATTGTGCGAGTCGAAGAACTCGTCGAGCAGCATCTGCCGCGTCTGCTCGTCATGCTGGCAACCGGGCGCCATCTGGGGTCCCGGCAGATAGAGTTCGGGGCGCAAAAACAGAGCCACCTTGTCGGGTCGCTGCTGGAAGAGCACGCGATTGCCGGCGTCCGAGTTCCAGGTCATTAGGTTGTCCACCAGCAGCTCGTGGTCCTCGAAGAGGCGTTCTGGGGAAGGGAATTAATTTATAAATCAGTTAAATTACTATTTCGAATCACTTACCCATCTGAAGATCGCCCAGGTGCTCCACCAGCGCCCAGTTGGACTGCATAAGCACGTGATTCTTGTCGGCCAGCAGCCGCGTCACATGACCGCAGACCATGCGCTCGTCCACCAGCAGCGACTTGGAGGCGCCGTCCGAGGTGAAGGCCTTGACGAACAGCCGCCGGATGGAGGCGCTCTCCAGCTTGTGCAAAGCCAACTGGATCTTGGCCGCCTTCGAGATACTCTGCTGCTTCTCGCCGCTGTTGGCCAGCTGTTGCTTCTGCTTCTGCTGAAGCTGCTGCTGTTGCTGTTGCAGCTGCTGCTGCTGCAGTTGCTGCTGTTGCTGTTGTTGCTGCAGGGATGTGTTCGAGGAGGCCGACGATTCGCTGGACAAGAGGGATACGGTATCGCTAAAGGCCGAATCATTATCGGGCGACTCGGTGCGCGGTTCACGGGGCGTCACAACGCCCATCGTTATGCCCATGGTCATGCCGAGCGGAGGCGGTGGATGGACAATCACTGGTCCGCCTGGCAGTCCAATTCCCAGACCCATCCCATGACCATTCTCCGAGATCCCCGACGACGAGCAGCTGCTCACGTCCGCCGAGATGCTGCTGTTGGTCCGCGAATGGGAGCGCGACGAGGCGGCCGACATGGAAACCAATGACGAAGCCACCGCTCCGGGCGGTGGTGGCTGCATTGTTCCTCCCAGTGGAGCAGCATTAATGGTCGCGGGCAGCAGGGAGGCCTCGCCGTAGCTGATCTGCGCCTCCAGCAGGCTCAGCTCGCCGAGGATCTGGTCCAGCTCCGACTCCTGCGAGTCCTCCAGATTGGCCATGGAGATGCGGTATGTGTGGGAGAGCTGCTTGGACTCCGGCGTCAGGGGACGATCGCTGTGCCTGCGCAGCTTGACGCCAGCGCCAGCTGCGGCGCCAATTCCAGGGCAATCCCCACCAGCCACGAAGCCAGCGGCGGTCGTCGCACCACCAGCCACTGCTCCTGTTCCGCCTGCTCCTCCGCCGCTGGCAGCGCCGTCCACCAAGATGCCCCTTAGGTTGATCTGGAAGAAGAAGGGGAAGTTGGGATTAGCACTACTTGCATAGCTTTTAGATTATTTTATTATTTTTTATTTTATATTATTTTACTTTATTTTTTTAATTTTTTTATTTTACTTTTTTTTTTTTTTTATTTAATTTTATTTTTTTTTTATTTTATTTTTTTTTTTTTCTTTATTTTATTTATTATTTTTTATAGAATTATAATCTTTAATCATTTATGGGAAACTTTAGATTATACAAATATTATCTCGTTTTTGTTTAAATATTTTAGCTTTCTATATTTAAATCGAAACTTGTCTTCATCCATTTAAGAAATCTAATCAAACTATTTCAGAGACTTCCGGTCATTACAATCTGTCGAATGTTTTCAATGACAATAATTTATCAGTTTCGAGTTTCAAAATGAAATTGAATCTAAAACTTGAAGCTAAATATGTTAAACATTTGTGGACCGTTTCTTTGGGACTGTGTGAAGTCGCCATAGCTCCAATTTAAAATGCGACAGGCAGATGATAATTATAGTTGGGGAACTTTGGCTTTATAACAAGGCCCAGAAATGTTTAAGTACTATCAGTTGGGTTCCCCGCATCGCATTTGCTGCTCTTTCTCTTTCTGTTTCTCTTTCTTTTTGTGTGAAACGTGCCCCAATGGAGCGTCCGCTGCCGAACGGCGATTTTACGATTAGCGATTGGCGATTGTCGGTTGCCAATGCAGCTGGTCCGACCGTTTCCGCCCCCTCTCCGGCCCCTTGGCCCCTGCCCCCCCCCCTACTTCCCCCTTAGTTCCCCCCTTACTGGGCGACAGCTTCGCCTCAAAACACGTTACACATTTCATTTTGGAAGGCAGTCGCACATAAAGAAAAATTGATATTATAAAATCAATTGTTATTAAATACATGATATAAACCACATAATGATATGATTTAATATGATCATGATTTTTGATCAGATTAAAGGGAACTGATAAATATTTGATATTAAAATATAGAAATGATATAAAAATTTCTTAAAATCAAATATTGATATCAACTTAATGATTTTATTTCACATTTTTGATCAGATTTCAGCGAACCGATTCCATTTGATATTACAATATTTATTAAAATTCAAAATTGATACTTTATTAATATTTAAATAATTTACAAATATTTCATAAACTCAAAAAAATATATTTTTGAACAAATATGGAAATTTTAATATTGAAATGATAAATTAAACTACCAGTATTTCGAATTTAATGCAAATATATTTATGGAATATCAATATTATAGCTATAATTTCTTTTTGTGCATATTGCTAATACTGCTGTCGCTTGGCAATCAAAAGCTGATCCGACTCACCCCGCGGAGTCCAGCACTTTTGGCGTTTCTCCAGCAGCACAGCGGCACTATTTCTGTTTCTGTTTCTGTTTTTATCGCTTGTTACAGCTTCTGTACCATTTGCCGATATAAAGCAGTTGGAAACACCGCTCGACGACTGGCGAGTGTTAAGTAATTCAGCCAGGCATAAGTCACGTATTAAAGCGACAAAGAACCGAGGAAAGGAAAGGGGTTGCTAACTGGTTTGGGGGCAAAGGCAAAAACAATCACAATGACTGGCAATTGGCCAAGAGAAAGGGGAAGAGAAAGATGGAATGAACTTGTGGAGAAGAGGGTTTTCTAATAGATCCCCTAAAATATATAGGGAAAAAGTGCCAAAAGCTTTGATATCACATAATACAATATTTCTTTAAATATTTTTTTATATTTTATTTCAAAAACTGTTTTTATAATATCTGATTTTAAAAAAATGTTCTAGATTGGTTACTGTTTTTATATTAATTTAAATCACTGCTTTAATACCCGCGAAATTAATGTGTGCCTCATTTTTTATTCTCGAGTAAGACCTGCAAGTCCAAAAGCCGATCACATACTATCCGAGTTATGTTACGGTTGTTATAACATCTGACATCGCTGACAACTGCCGACGTCTTACTGGTCATTTCGGTTACTTTCTGTTGATGGAGTTGCCTTTTTTTATGGCCTTTTCAACGGTCGACTGAATGAGTCATTGCGTGGCTCGAAAAGGTTTTTGTTGTCGCTTTTTTTTGTTGTTGCTGTTTTGTTTTGTTTTTACCTTACTTTTTAGGTAATTGGCACTTTACTTAACTGAACTCCAGCCAGGGGGACTCGCGATGATGATCCACCATCATCACTGTCAGCTGTTCAACGCACCGAGAAGGGCAGCGATGATATGATGTGATATGGTATATGGTATATGGTATATGGTAGGAGGTTAAAACGAGGTTAGAGAGTTCCATTCAACAATGCACATCTCGCCCCGCTTGGTTAGCGTTGATTTATGGACAGAAATGTACATAAATACGGGAAACGGAATACAGAACACATCTAATAACCCCTCACGGCTGCCCTTTTTCCCTCAAAAACACTCAATCGCTTGTCCACAAAGTTCAATGACAGAGCCGCAACAACAAATTCCAATTGACAAATCCGGGGGATGGACAAGGGGGTCAACAGGGGGATGGTAGAGGAGACCCCACACAGAATCCCATTCTACCGGCCATTTGTTGCTGTTAGTTTACGACTCTTGTTTGCATATTTGCATAGGTCGGTCCACTACTGCACTCACATTCTTGGTTCCAACACAGGGAGAAAATATTATTCACTTGGAGTAACTATTTCTATCTCCAAATATATTGGGTTTAATCTAGAACCAAATCTAAGGGAGAGCCGGTTTGTAGCCTAGATTTACCCAGTGATCCGAACCGGTTTTCAACTAATCAAAGCGAAAAGTTATTGGGAATTATAGCGTAACAGAGGCGGAAAACCCTCAAAGTTAAGAAAAGTCACGTCTTACTTGTATTTCTCTGAGAAACATATTTAAACCGAGATAAGCCAGTCATTAATCAATTGGAATTTATTAGTGTTATCACAATTGACATTTTAATAAAATATAAACTAATTTTATCTTATACTTCCATTCCGAATTATGATAGATTTTTCCACAGTTTGGTAAAGTGATGGTCCTCACAACCATGTGTCAACAGTCCAAAGACAAATATGTAGAAAAATGGGAATGCGATAGTTTGTTGGATATGAATTCAGCTTCACTACGTGAAAAGTGAGTAGCTTACCTCACAACCCTTCAAAAATATTGAATGTTTACTTTGTAAAGTTTTCAGAAAAACGAAATATATAATATTTCTATAGCTGCTTATATAAGAATTAAGTTAATTTGGTAACAGCCGTCTAGTTAATCCGAATCTGAGTCATAAGTACGTGACTTAAATTATAATATAATATAATACGTAAGCTTTCATTTTCTATTTGTTCATGTTTCTATTCATTAAGTACTTCTGCACTCCATTTAGTTGTAAAATAGCTGGTAAAACTATACTATCTCATTCCCATTGTTTCCTGCTTCTAGCTTTTAAATGGAATTTCCCCCACAAAACTTCTTATAAACAAAATTTGACACATGATAAACTGCAATGTTATCGCTGACTTGTGCTTTTTAGAAGCCTCTTCCCAGATTTCTTCTGTAACTGGCAATAAAATCGCCTTGTTATTAAGACGTCTGTGTTTAAAAGTGTTTTAAATTACAATCGTCAAGACTGAAATGAAATAAACCACTGGACGGGCTGTGTTTTTTTCCTTTGAAACGCTACGTTTCAGTCGCAGTTGATCTGTAAATAAGTTTTTCAGCTGCAGTTCAATGTTCTTGGTGGATCGGTTTTCTGTTGTTCACCTTGAGCACACACGGGGCCCAGATCAATGCTACCAATATGGAGGCATGACTTCCATGATAAACCAATTATAACCTTAGCGGATCCGATAATTGTATGGGCAGCCAGCTATTAAGTCCGAATGGAGGTTGGGGAACCACTACCTACTACCGACCTACCTTATTTTACTTACTTACACAAGTGTCCTATCTAACTCCATCTAACAAGTGGTCAAACACTGCACTACTTATTACTACTCTAGTAGTTTACTCATGACCTACTCAACCCAAGTCGCATGTTCTGGGCTCATTCCACTCCCTGGGGACTTTTTCCCAAGTAATTACTTTAACACTACAATAATATTTTCAGTAATTAACTAAAAGCGAGAGTCCCCGCTCCCTTTACTTTCCTACCCACTGACGTCAGTCGGGAAAAACCATGATGGGTGGGGAGCTCTTTGTTCAAGGCCCAAACGCATTATGAATATTCTCATGTTTGTGGACATTTACAGCAACTTCCGTAGTCGATTAATAAAAACAACAAACAGCGCTGCCAAAAAAAAAAAAAAAAAAGCAGTGGACAGAAGCAACAATAGCAAGCAAACAAAAAATAAATTAATACATTAAATTTAACTTTTAATGGGCCCCATTCACACACATACACACACCGAAAACAGAGAATATAAACACCCGGGAGTCATGCCACGGCCTTATAGAGCAGGCGTTTCGCTCCTTTGGCGAAATTGTCGCTCGCTCATAAAACGAAAACCTCGAATATAGTATAAATAGTATATATATGGAATACTGGAATTTATAATGTGCCTGAATTTGCGCCACGATGACCATCATCATCACCACCATCGTGAAGCAACAGAGTTGTGCTTTAACTTCGAGTCGAGTTGACTTCACTACACTCTACTTAACTTCATGTCGTTCGTTTCGGTTTGACTTTGGGCTTGGTTCGTTAAGCAGCCTAATTGGCGGCCCCCGCCAGTTCTCCACGGAGAGAAAAGAATGTGGCAATAGAAAATATTGGTTCACCTTGTGAGAAAATTATCTGAATTATCACACAAAACTATAAGAATAAAAGCTAAATAATATAATGATGCTTTTATAGTTTTGTATTGTTAAATCAACATTATTTGTCTTATAAATAATAATAAAATGCATGTCAAATTTTTTCTCTGTGTACATTTAAGTCAACCCGCAGAGTTAAGTTCAAGGCAAGACGATGCAACGGAGTAAGTTAAAGAAATAAGTAACCATGAAGGGCGACCCGA